AACCTAAGAGCGAAGACCTCCAACTTTGACCGCTTTGCTGTCTTGTGGTTTCTTGTCTCCGCATTCAGTTCCGTACACCATATCTCAAGTGTGTGCGAATGCGTCGGGCAAGCAACTGGCAAAAAGGTGGAAGATATTGAATGAACGACTTTGAATATGAATAAGAGTGGTCTTTCAGGCAAGTGGACACGAAGAGACCTTGTTGTTCAAGCGTCTTGCTTGATACCCGGTTGATAGTGTGAGGAGGCTCCTTCTGGAAGGTTGTCCAAGAAGCCCAGCCCAGCCCAGCAAGAGAATGTGAGTCACAATAGAGAAGGATGCAAAGAGAATGTGGTGAAACGGTTGACCTTGTTGAAGATTATTGAAGTGGACAGCGCGAAAGCAGAGAACCACTCAAAGATCTCAAAGGAAATGAACATAAGCCATGGCCTCCAACCTAAAGCAATGGCCTCCAACCTAGTAACGATGGCCTGCACCGATGGCCTCCAACTTACTAGGGAGGGGTCAGCGAAGTTGCCAAGGAGTTATCAAGTGAGTCAAACCTCAGCAACCTATAGGACTAGACACAGTGAACTTTTCCTGAAAGACCCTCTAGCCACTGTACGATTGGTAGGCTTTTGCTCGATCGGCTCCATTTCTTGACTGAGTATTTATCAAAATGTTAGGTTCTCCACTTTTTGGATTTGTCCCTGCTTTGGCATCCGGACCAGCCCCAGCTACAAGGCTTTAGAGAAAGTGCGAGAGTCCATTGAGGACACCAAGGTGAGGACTGGTGTGGAGTGGCCGAACGTTCCAACGTTTGCTTCTCTTCTCTTGGTGAAGAGTGTCATGAGCGCACGAAAACAAGGCTAGTGGTGTACGCGAAGCAAAAACTTAAGGACCCTGTCCAAATTTCAGTGTGAACCTAAACAAGAGCCCAAGTAAGACATGACAGGCTGCTATGCAGCAGTCCTTCACCATGCAAAAGGGAAAGCCTGGCGTGACTTGGCATTGCAGAGTTGCAGTGACATGAGGTTTGGCAGTGTAGTAACATTATTTGCAGGTCAAATCGAAGGTGACCCACGGAACATGAGAGTTCCTTCCCAATGAGTTGGACTGAAGTAGAAGCGGCATCCTTTTGGCCCACTTACCCTTACGATGAAGCAGGATGCCTTGCTCGAAAACACTTACCGCTCTGATCATTGCACGGTCATGCCGCCTTGATTGCCTAGATGCACGTGGAGGAGGTCTACAATGGCCCTGCACAAGAGGCGAGCAGCAGAGCAGCGAACACGTCATGGAACGCCTGCGCTTTTCCCAGCTACCATTCCGTCCTTTCCCTTGTCCATTTTGCGCACAAACTGTCACAAACAGAACGCGCACACACACACACACAAACACAAACACACGTTCTTGTGCATGGCCACCCAACTCTTGGGAGCTCAGAATTTTCCCTTCAATACCTTACTTTAACGACTGATGCCTACAAACATATTGAGTATATATTATATAGATACATAAATAACTCAGCGATGTCATTTCCTTGGGCTTATTCGCGGGTTCTCAGCCAGGCTTTGAAGAAACTGGAGGATGTGGAACAGGATCTCCAAGGTGGTTGAGAACACCGTGCGTTCGAAGGTGCTCCAGTGCAGGCCGTTACTGCCCAGTGTTGGTCTGTTTGAGGATATCCGCGAAAGGGCGGAATTGAGAAATTGAGGAGTCTCCAACATGACCCGACACGATGGCTGGACCTCTGCGATTGATGGTTGCCTGGAGGCCGCTTGAGGACCCAAGGGCTGCACTCGTGAGTGAAACAAAAGCTTGGCTGCAAACCTTTGATCGCCAGCAGTGCAGACCAAAGGCTCGGCGTTTTACGCAAAGTGTGTTGTGCAATGACTTTCTGCGTGAACCAAGCTCTTCCCTTCAAATTCACACAGACTCTTTTCTTCAGTCACAGGATTCTGAGATTTCGTGGTGGATGTGGAATGATCCCAGGCAGTTGCAGCATCAACATGAGATGAACTTGATCGTGATGTCTGCAGTTAGCTTTTGCCCAATAACGCAAATCAACATCAAATTCATTTGTCCGAACACAACTGTACATTATTGGTCTCAGTTTGGGTTTGATTATATAATAGTGCGGTCTGGAGACAAGCTCTTTCCTGCGTACAATCATTGCAATGAAGAAGATGTGCCATGGAGAGCGCGCAGAGCAGCAAAGGCACCAGAGTAATTATTCGTTCATCATCAAAGCTTGGCAGGCGGTTGCTTTTTAATCCAAAGGTGAACTTTGGTGGGTCAACTCTTTTATCACTTGGCCATTTTTGAGGCTACAATGCACCACTAATGCTATCATTATTTTACTAAGGCAACTTATTGATGGACGTTAACGGTTGTCGACTAATTGCTCATCGATCGCTTGAACATTACTGGGACATACTTGTAGACCATGACAATCCTTGACATAAGCACTCGGAGCAAGGACGCTACTAGTAGCTCCTGGCCTTACTGCTAGTAACAAGAAGCTACTAGGAGCAAAGGGCATTGCTACTAGTAACAAGAAGCTTCTAGTAGCTCCTGGCCTTACTACTAGTAACAAGAAGCTACTAGTAGCTCCTGGCCTTACTACTAGTAACAAGAAGCTACTAGGAGCAAAGGGCATTGCTACTAGTAACAAGAAGCTACTAGTAGCTCCTGGCCTTACTACTACGTAGTAACAAGAAGCTACTAGTAGCTCCTGGCCTTACTACTAGTAACAAGAAGCTACTAGGAGCAAAGGGCATCGCTACTAGTAACAAGAACCTACAAGTAGCTCCTGGCCTTACTACTACGTAGTAACAAGAAGCTACTGGTAGCTCCTGGCCTTACTACTAGTAACAAGAAGCTACTAGGAGCAAAGGGCATCGCTACTAGGAGCAAGGACGCCTGTAGCCCCCAGGCGGCTTGGGCCTTTTGGTGGATCGTCTCTCAGCGTTGGCTGAGCGTTTGGCCACGGTGCCCTTGGGAGAGGAGCTGGCCCAACTGGCCGAGGAACTGAGGCACAGGGCGTGTCATAAGAGGTGACTGGATGTGTTGATTCTGTGAACTGTTGATTTGTTTGACTGGAGTGATATACTTGGACCGAAAGTCGGAGTCCATACGTTGCTGCATGGCTCTTTAAGAACATGTCACAGTTTGTGTTGGGAGCGCAGGGAAATGTAACAAAGTAACATAAGGTGCGGTGCAACCAACATTTTCCCCCAGATAGCGAGAGCTATTGGGATCCTTACTTCAAGTATAGGAAAAGGTGCTTGTGTGTTGGAGCCGTTCTGCTGCCCAGAAATATCTTTTGCTATCTGGGGTCTGTGCTGGCATAATTTCCTTTTGGAGAAAACCTCTAAAAGAGGGCCCGTTGTCGCACTCAAGGGGTCGAAAAGCGATCGAGATATTCGAGGTGCGAAGCAGAGGCTCTGAGGGTGGGCGCCAGCTCAGAGCTTCTGCAAGCCTTAAGCCGTGCCCGTGAGGAGCGCGAGGAGAGGGCTGGAGAGGGTCGAAGAGATGATGAGGGCAAGGAGGGCGAGCGTCGAAACTGGAGACCCGTGAGTCCTTCGAGGCATGTGAAGTCTACTTTAGGGTCTACTCTTGGGAGATGTTGGTTGATTGAGTCGGAGGCCCCTCACCCCGCAGTGCACACAGTCACAAATGGGTCGAAGAAATGAGCACCAGGAGCTGCGCTTAGCGTTGGCGCAGCATTCTGCTTTCTGTGCTGAGAGGGAGTTGGAATTGCCCGGACTCAGAGAGGGATGCCCAGGTTGGGTGGGCGAGTTTGGCATAGGGGGCAACAAAGCGAGGTTCAAAGTAAGGTTGGAGAGCTGAAGGAAAGAGAGGAATAGTTGAATAGCTTAAGCATGCCTAAGCTCTTGAACAAGAACTGGGGACATCAGCTGTTTCGGGCAAACTAAACTTCACGGTGGTAGTAGGTCCAAAGAACCAAGACCGACATCTACTTGATCCAAGAACCAACATGTTTCGTGCCAAGGCGCCTTGAGCTTGAACAGTTACAAGACGCAAAGGCTCAGGCTCAGAATGTGAGTTTCGTAGTGGCGAGAGGTGTTGGTCAGACAGGTCAGGCGATTGGGTTTACCACGCAGACAAAGTTTTCTCTGCGGGCGTGATCGGTGTGCTTTTGTGCAGCATGTTTTTTAGACTAAATCCTACTTAGATGGAGAAAGCGCTTGGACTCTTGTTTCTTTCTTTCCTTCCTTCCTTTCCTTCCTTGCGGTTGGAAGCAGAGGACATTAGAGGGGGATGGCACTTTCTTCATTTGGGAGCAGGATGTCCAGGAGCCAGCTGCCAGCTCCAACCTCGATGCACAGATTCAGGAGGCCAGAAAAGGGGGCGGCTGTTTTCCGGAAAATTGGGATGGACCGGGATGGATGTCTCCTCAAGCAGAAATCAACAAAGTGAACTGGTCCAAGCTGCAAAACGCAAGGCGTCTAGATTACAATCTCAAACTGCAAGGCGATTGAAGCGCTTGTCTTCTGTATTCTGCTGCCTAAGTCTCAGTTGCCCTTGAGCCAAGTGTGACAATATGAAACTCTCGCGCTAATGGACTTCTCAACGCTTGAAAGTTCTCACATAGTTTGATTGCTTCACAAATCAACGGCCTGAGCCTTTCAAGTTAAGTACTTCCCATCCCAGCTTCACAGTTTCACTGGAAAGATGTCTTGCTCACTATATTTATATATCTGATTCCGCCGCAAGGTGTGCTGAAGAAAACATCGAGCCTACTCTCAATTTGCAAATCACACACAGCGCATAGCGCAGCAACCATGCTTGCCAAAGCATCAAGTACAGCAATGAACAATCACAACCACAGAAAGCTTTGTTCCGCAAAACAAAGGTGCTAGACAACATATGCATGCAAAGTTGCTCTAAGTCTGGCTTGTTTGGTTATCCATTCGCCTTCATATCCACATATATAATGGACGCAGCGTGAGAGCTATTCACACGTTTGACTGAACCACGCGTTGAATGCCTCTTTGATGCTTCAAGCTCAGGTTTACACTGAAGGCTGGGAAAAGTTCTCAGACTGCTGGGAACAAAGGAACAACAAAGCAAAACAGGTGTCACCAGCAGGAAATTGAACAAAGAAACAAAGAAGCAAGACCATCATCCTCGGCAGGAAATTTGCCACCCCGGTGAAGAAAGGAACAACAAAGCAACACCGTTTTCCGCGGCAGGAAGTCGGCCACCAGGGTGAACAAAGAAGCCTTGCGCTGAAGGTCTCGGAAGACGGGATTCCTGTATCCTCTGCATCCACCCATCATTCAGCCTGACTAGATCACTCGTACTTTCCCTGGCTGCTACGTCTGCTGCGCACCCAGTCACAATGCATGGGGATAAGCCACGGGCATTCTTTGCCCATCCCATGCGCAAGGTCAAAAAACCCGTCAGCCAGGAAGAGTGTGAGGGAGGAAAGTAATTGCCTTTGCCCTTTGCTCGCTTCCAGGCCCTTCAAAGAAAAGATCCGGCATGACTTTGGCCCTCCAGTTTTTAGTGAACGCCTTCAGAACAGAATCCGGCTTGTAATCGTTGTCGTGCTCTTTTCTCATGCGTCTTTTTATACAAAAAATAGCACCAATAGGAACACCAAAAATGCGCAAAAAACACAAGAAATCATCGGACAACCAGAATAGAACACTTTCGTTTGCACGAGGAGCACCACAATAGAAGCTAGCACAGTTTTGATGGCATGAGAAGCACAGTAAGGAAAGCTCCCCCCAGCTGAAGCCAGCTCCAGCCCCACCCTCCCCACATTTGCAAACAAGTAGCACCAACCACGTTGATTATATTGGTGCAAACGACATTGGCAACAAATGGGCTAGAGTGATCAGTAGTTGTACTTCCTGTGAAAGCAAGATGCAACCCACGAACCCAACTGCAAAGCAATTTGAATATAACACAAATATATAATATACATCTTAGACTGCGTGACTCGACATTCTTCCAGGACACTACTGTCGCTTGAAACTCTGTAGAACACTCTTGCTGGACATGCTTGTCCGGCACTCTTATAGGGCTCCAAGTGAAAGAAGCCTGGTTCGAAATGCTTGTTGTAGAGTTGTAGAGCAAGAGCGCGCTAGAAAAGTGTCATGCAATGCAAGATGTCCCACAAGAGTGCCCTAGTAGAGTGTCCTACAAAGATGTGTCAAGCAAGAGTGTCCTACATAAGTGTTGCTCAAGAGTGTCCTACAAAAGTGTGAAGCAAGAGTGCCCCACAAGCAAAGCAGGCGTTTCGTAGGAGACTTCCTCCAAAAATCACACGTTGAGTTTCCAAAACGAGGGATCCGTTCGAGATTGCCACCAGAAGTCACAGCCACCAAATCTCCAAAGCGAGCATTTCGTACGAGACTTCCTCCTTTAAAAGTGACTTGAAAAATCTCAGCGCTGCCAAGCAGCTGTGCAATCCTACGCCCTTCCAAAGAGCACAACACACCAAAACACTATGATAATGGCTGAACTACAATCACCTTCACCAAATGGTGCAACCTCGTGCTACCCTGCGCCTGCCAAGACGCACAAAGTACTGTGCCTGCCACCAGAAGTGATTATGCCACACATTGACATGTCCAGTAAAATGTGCGAGCAACATACTTTTGAAATGATGTCGACACTTAAGCTTTGCAGCTTCACGGTTTGCCTGCACCACTCAAAATCGCAATTTTAGCTGAGACTTGTCTCGCAAACTCAGTTTCGAAGCAAACCGAAAACAAACAACGCAACAAAACCACGAAGGCCAATCTCAATGGCAGGGCGATGCACAGTGTGCTGACCTCATGAAAAGCTGCACCTGCGCAGCAAAGGCAGACCTCACACTTGGGAAGTCACGCGAACACAGCTCTACCTCCCCAAACGCCGAGAGTCAAACGAGAATCCCTCCATAAGCATTCAGGAAAAGACGGTTTAAATTTGGTACACACACTTTTCCGATTGATCTAAAACGCAGAGGAACTGAAAGGAGGAACTGAAAGGCCAACTGAGATGGACAGGAACAGCGGCAGCAGCGACAGCTGTCGCCTTTCAACGCCAGGCCGTACAGCAACAGCTTCGTGTGGCGTTGGACGAGGAAGCGCGAGCTGCCCGGCGCGCGCGGCAAAATCTGGTGGAGGAGAACCAGCTTTTGAGGCTGGATGGGATTGATGAGATTTGGTTAGACAATCAATTCATCAGTCACAATTGAACAATTTGAGTTTGCTGAGTGAGCAGGTAGGGGTGGGCCCAGTAATATATTGGCAGAAAGCCAGCTTTGTTCGGGGGGTGCACTCCATGAACAGTTTAATGCTATCAACAACAGTACACAGTCAGTGAAGTGGTCCAGTTGAAAATTATATACTGTATGTGGAAAGGGACGGACTGTGAAGCAGTGCGTTGTGTCTCCATAATTGAGGTTTGGAATGGGCCCTCACAGGGGCCGTTCAACTGAACGCGTCCAACCGTCCAACCGCCTTAATTTAGGGTTTAAGTTTTAAACCTTACCTGTTCACATGTCAGCCTTCTTGAAAGGGTTCTTTCGGATTGCTATAGCTAAAGCTTATCCAGCACAGTGTAGGAATCGCAGTAGAGTAGTATCGGGTTAGTTCTTTGGAAGGTGGGACCTCCAGTGCATTAAGTTAGTTACGTGGCAGTCCGAAGTCGTTGTCCAGGACGCAGTTGCGCTCTGCGCGGCAACGGCAGCATTGTTTGGAGGTGGAGAACGGGGCGCTGAAGACCATGCTGAGTTGTTTCGAGGCCTTAGGACCACCACCCAGCAGCTCTCAAGGCGAGGTCCGCTCCTTTCTTTGAGAATGTGTGCCCGAGAAGTTGTTGCGGAGCAGTTTCGAAGGTCCATGTGATTTTTTGGGTTTGTAGGTGAGAGAGAAGTGATGGACGCATGTGGACTTCATGCTTAATTTTTTACGTTTTGGTTTGTAACTCTATCACCTGCACATTCCTCCACATGGCCTAGTAAGTGCTGGGTGTTCCAGGAGCTGCCAGTGATGGCTTCCCAGAGTCTCCAGCTGGGGAGGCAAAGAGCAGAGATTGGAGGGGAGTGTGAGGAAATCGTTTCATCGTTAAAGATCTGAGCCCTGACGGATTAGTTGCTCCTCTTTTTTTTTGCGCTATTGTCGAGAGCCTCGCAGTATTGTTGTTCAATACGAACTACACCCCGGTGGCAAATTTCCTGCCGAGGATGATGGTCTTGCTTCTTTGTCCTTTTTTTCAGGCTGGTCAATTTCCTGCCAGGGATGATTGTCTTGTTTTTGCTCCTTTGTTCATCCTGGTGGCAAATGTCCTGCCGGGGATATCTGTTTTGCTTCTTTGTTTCTTGTTCACCCTCTGCATTCAACATCCATGCTTCATCACATCCAGAAGCCGCTGGTTCTACTCCCTCAAGACCGTACATAGCTTCAGGAGACCTAAAAGCCGTGGACCATTACAACTTTGAGAAAATCGGCCGCCTTCTCACCTCGCTCTGAACCAGTTCTGAAAAAGTGAAAAAGGACCTGGAGCCTTGTAGATTTTCATGCATCCTTCATTCTTGTTGGTAAATCTTGTCCTCCTTTCAACTTGCAGTCCTATGGCCGTGCTGTGTTGCATTCTTAGAAAAGAATAACGTTACCTTGTGACTATCTTTGGAATGTATATATATATATACACATATAAACATACTGTTCTTGCATCGGAGCTCCTGTTTCCCATAAAGCGTATCATCTTCCAGTCATTGCAATTTTCCAAGAGTGTAGAACATAGCCAGAAAGCTTGAAAAGAAAGGCCGACCTTTGAACATCTTCTTCTGGAAATCTATATGCCGTTTTGAAGACAGACTGCAATTGTATCAAAGCCCTCCTTCAGAGGATGTGACATGTCCGCAGAATGTCCTACACAAAAATAGCAGCTTTCTCAATGCAGAAGCTGTCATTTCCAGCGATATGATATAAGTCATTTGATCTGTGGAATCTTTTGCTTGCAAGATCCGCTTTTCAAGGACTCTCCGATAAGTTTTCTTCCCCCTCTCTCTCTCTGGATGACGAAAATAGTGTCGTGTTTGCAAGTTTTTTAAGGCAAAAACTAACCTTTAAGTTGAATCCTAGAGCAATTTAGACAAGCATCAGTCATCAGTCGCTTTCATGGTCAGGCTCCACGAGTAGAGGAGGTAGTCAGGCGGATTCAAAAGCAATTTGGTGAGGTGCTGCAGTGCGCCCTCACTAAAGAAGGCCCGGACTGTCTGGACTCCATCGATCACACCGTTTGGCACGTAGAGCACCCTTGCCAGGTAGAGTGCAAGCCTTGCACGTGGAGTTGGAATAAGGTGCCTGTATTCTATTGTGTGGACAAACATAATAACAGCAAAAGAGCAATCATCCTCGTCGTCGTGGTCGTCATCATTATCAAGTATAAATGTACTGGACATGCAAAGAAAAGAAAAGCGCGATCCGCTCATGAGATGGGGTCCGATGGTCCTATGCGGCTCGTGGGCAGCTTTTCATGCGTGCTTTCCATCGAAGCATCCTGAGATGTACACTTACCTCGAATGGGCCCTTGTGGCTTTAGCCGCAAGCGGCAAGTTCACAATACTCGTAAGCACTGCGATGAGTCGTTTTCATCTGCATCTTGCCAAGTCACGCAGATATGCAGATGCGATTAGGTCACCATGAGTGCTTCTCCTCTTGTGGCTGAAATGGGCGGTTCGCCAGCAGCTCCAAGTTTTCCTTTTTGCCATGACCGTTCTTCTTTTGGACGGTTACAGTAGGAGATAGACCCTGGCAGACAGATTCCTTGCGGTGATTGAACGCCTCATGTAGTCATCATAGTTCCCAGCACGCGGCTTGGGAGCTGGTTGGGGTACAGGGTTTTGTTTGACTGACGATGGAGCTTGAATGGGACCGTCAGGACGAAGGGTGGGGGTTTGCATGTCTACTCAAGCCTTCGATGTCCTTATAGGCAAACCACCTCGAAGGACCACATATCTCTGAATTAAGTCACAATGACATGGAAGGACATCAACTGCACATTTCTAAGCATTTGTTGGATGTGGGACTTGTTTTGTGATGTTCGTCTAAGGTTTTGGTTGCCAAGGCGCTTGACCCACGCCCGACGCCTTACAGGCACCCGACCCAGACCTTGAGGAGTCCGATATGTCTGGAAACAACCAGCAGGCGTGCCGCTGAGCTGGTGTGGTTGACAGTCTTTGTGGACAGACGGGGTTTGGCAGTCTGCACAAACCTTATATATATATGATAATGATAATGTATATGTATATATGCTTTTTGCATCACTTGGCTTTCTTGCATTTCACTTAGTCATTTTCTATGGAAAAAGCAAGCGACGGGACCGAAGTTCTGCTTCGCTTGGAAGCACTGCTGCGGCTTGTCGGATTAAGAGAAGGTGCTTTTAAAGTCTTTTAAAGGGTGGTGGATGCAATGTCATACCAACAATTCTGCAAACATATCCCAGTCCAGTCATCTTCACTGCTTTACTAAGCCCCATTCCTTGCCATGGTTTTGTGAAACCTGCAAAACTGCACCGTGGTGGGTCGCGGTCGCAAGTCCTGCCAGGAACCTTTGGTGCCTCGATCATCGAGCGTGACTAGGAAGAAGGCCCGTTAACACCGCTTTGGGGGACAGAAAGTTGCTACTTGGGAGCTCTGGACTTGGTTCCCTTTAGAGTTCAAACCATGGTGTTTCTTTTTGTGTATCTCTGAGTAGATGGTCAATCCAGAAGGTTGGGGAGTGCCAGGTCCAGAGTGTTTGGGAACCCCCAACAGTGCCACAGAGGTGGGCAGAAAGTTTTAAACATCGCGGGAATGACGGTGCGGTTTGCGTGCAGCCTCAGGTCTCCCGAAAGGTCGCCGGCCGGGCCAAGCCCAAGGCTGGGCGGGCGCATGGACATGCCTTTGTTTGGACATGGTCAAAAGTTGTGGTGTTCAATCGCACTAAAAGTGCAATCGCCAATTTGTTTTTTTTCGCCGAAGTTGATGTGGTTTTCAAGCAACACTCCTTTGCAGAATCTCACTCCGTCAGTCATTGCACGAGGATGATTCTGCCATTTACGATGCCAACTAGTTGATGGTACAACATGCAAACAAGGATATATTTCCTGATTCGAGCTGTGGTGAAGTTGCTGGTAATTGTGTGTTCGCATTGTAGTGCTTGATCCGTTTACAAGTCCAGGCCAGCAGGCATACCACTTTGAAAGCAGATTTACTGTAATTGATCAGGTGTGCCAGTCTCTTAATTTGTCGGGGTGAAACGTTAGCGTCGAAGTGGCGCTTGCCCTTCCCGAAGAGGTGTTTATCCTGCCACAACAAAAAATTCTATTGTTTCCACAACAGAAACAGGTTAGAGGCTCCTGGAGGCAGAGTGTTTGCTCCGTCCATGTTTCTCTGGTCACACAGCCAGGTCGAACTGGCTCGGAAGAGCCTTGTCGAGAATTCGCGGTGTGTTGTGATGGATCTGACTTTCTTTCCAGTTGCACTCATGTCATTGTCCCCTGAGTCAATTCTGAAATGCGTTGCAAGTCACTCTTCTGAGGATCAGCTTTGCAGAAAGAGACTTCAAAGGGACAGATGAAGCCAATGGTGCCATTGTGGAGAAAGAAGAGGGCAGCTGTTTCGCCATATTGGTGGACGTGGATACCTGCAGAGTGCTTTCTTGAAAGGAGTCAGGTGTCGAACACCGTTTGAGCCGTTTGGGCCATTCAGGCCGTAGCAGTTTGGGAGATCAGGACATCAGTTGAACCGTGAGACACACAACAAGGAATACTCACTTGGGAATCTCAAGCTGAGACATGGTCTGGACATTTAACCCGTCATTACTTTCGGGATCAACGAGATCAACAGCCGAATCGACTTCCACAACATTTAGTAAATGTGTTCTTTGCAGACACGGTCCATGGATTGAGAACAGGTCAGTCATAGTCCTTCTTTGCCTGAGCATGTTTGTCTCTTCTAATATTGCCATCCAACAGAAAAGAACCACGGAGATCCTCTGGTGAGCCTTCGGGCTCTGGAGGCGAGGGATGCTCTGAATTCCTCGAAGCGGACTCTGGCATTCCCTCTTGTGTCCTGAAGCCATGGCCATCCTAGAGCCTTCCATGACTTCGCGCTTGCGGCGAATGAGTGAGAGGTGAATCGCGGTGTTGTTCTGCGATGGATTGGGGGGGTTGGGGTGGACGATATTGTTTGGCAGTCAGTTGTCTCAAGTGGAGCTCTGTGCAAACCACTTCTTTCTTATTGCTTCCTTCAACAGCCTCGTTTGGAATGCGGTCAAGTTATGTCGAGTTCCATTTTCCGAGCCTCGCTGTTGTTGTTTCATCCTTGGCTCTCCCTGCCAGCCATGTCTTTGACATCAACGATTGGAAGACTCGGATGGCTGACTTGCAGGGCATCATGAGCTGCTCGACCGCGAGAGTTTTGGGCACTGCCGCTCTAGAGATGTTAATGACTACAGGTAGGCCATCGAAAGGCCCAACGAAGCCATCAGATGGGAGTTTCTTGACTTTCTAATTTGTTCCATCCGTTTTGATTCTGTGTTTGGTCCAGAGAACCGATCAGTGCACGAGAACATCCCATTGCAGGAATGAGCATGACAGCATGAGAGAATATATATATACACATATAATGGGCACTCGAGCAACATAAGTTGCAGTGCCCTGGGCTGTGAAGCTCAGTGTTGTGCAATGCAGTAAACACAAAGTCTTGCTTGGAATTTTGAGGTTTCAATGCACATCCCTTCGGTTCAAGATCTCCTGATCGCACAACAATTACTCATGCGACCAAGAACGCCATGTAGACTGACATTCATATCTCCAGACTTCCACTCCGCTTCGATGTGGTTTGTCGCTGACCTAGGTGCAGCGAAGGCCCTCTTCTTGCTGCTAGCCGGAGATCCCAGTAGCGACGATAGGCGTTGCGGGATTCCCACCTTTTTTCTTTGGATGGGGTGGAGCAGCGAAGCAGCTTGAACTCCAGGACCTGTAGTAGTAGGTTTCTTTTTGGCCAATTTTTTACGTAGGGTGGATTCTCGTCTTCCTTCTTTCGCCGAGGAAAC